TTTCTGGCTATAATTTCGGGCCTGCTACCATTGCTAACTTTGTTTTTATTCATTTCAGAGAACCCGAGACAAATCATGAAGAGCTGCATCAAGTATTTGTAATATAGCAGTGGAAAAGCAACGTGAAAGGCGATTTATTAACACATTTCATCTGAATCTGTATTTTGTGTCTAATTTTTTACACTTGAGATTTAAAAACAGCATTCTTGTTATACATACAGTTGATTGCTTGAAGCTTTGAATATGAAATACTGGACACTTAGAATGTGTACAGTAATTTAGGTGCTTCAGAATAGGTGTAATTGTTTATCTTACCTGAGGTCTGCATTTCTTGATTTTTGGCCATGTTCAGGCTCTTTTTTGTTATTGTTCCTTTTATAAGGCAAAATTACAGTCACACCCATATGGTCTTCCTTTTATCGAGGTCGGATCTTGAGCGATGACAAATGTTCATGTGCTTAAGCAATCGATAAACGTGAGATTTGTATCGTATATGCTTACTCTTCTTTTATACTAATATGTAGTTGCTGAGCAGTCCATTCCTTCTCTTTTTTTTTGAAGATGTAGCAAATAGAAGTTACGAGTAACAAAATATAATATGATCAATTATCACAAGACGAAATTAGAGGATCTGGATCTTTTTTAGGCCACCTGTTTTGTAAGTGAGTGAATCCGACACGACACGATTCATAAACGAATCGGGTATAAGGTGAAGTTAATCAGAAAAATACACGACACGACTTGTTTATATACCAGTTATACACGATTCATACACAACACAAATTCGATATGATATGATTCATTAGACACGAATTAATAAACAAATATGAGTGTAGTATTTTTTTATATGAACTCGCCTCACCCGACACGATTAACAAGTCTAATTATAAGTATGATGTCCTCAAATGCATTCAACAAAATTTCCTTCAAAAAAATTATATAAAGAATTGATGTTTGAGCTGTAACCTTGTAAACAAACAAGGAAATAAAGATTCTAAGTCCTAAAAAGCATATTTAGGGACACCCAATTGTGTTACAAAATGAGGTTAAATGCAAAACTTAGGTTCAAATGCAGACATGTTGCCTAGGTGGTCCTTAAGCTATTCCAAAATAAGCACTTATTTTAGTTCAGACATACTAATATATCTTTTAAAACTCAAAAAAGAAAAAAAAAAAGTAGAAATTCTGAAACTGAAGTTTAGTTTTCCTTCTGTACCTGAGAATCAAAAAAAAAAAAAAAAAAAATTAGTTTGGTCAGCAACCAATATTGAAAGTTACCTATGTCTGTCTAGTGGCAATAGAGTAGCAAACTAAGTGGAATTAAGTATCAATTTATGACAGTTTTAAAATAAAATTGTCAAATTATGATACTTTTGAACTTATTTACTAAGTTACAATACTTTTTAAAAAATAGGGTTCTTGGCCCCGTTTTTAAGAGTTAACTCATTGGACTTAACACCCTCTTTTTGCATGTGATTACACACTAAATAGTTTCCTCCCCTTGTCAGCCAAAGATTAAAGAAGTTGTCTACAGTATCGAAAAAAAAANTTAAAGAAGTTGTCTACAGTATCGAAAAAAAAATTCGATACCGTACCAATATTTATTATTTTTGTGTGTATTTTTACCACTGTTGTGGGTGTTTTTATAATTGTTGTGATACCGAAGAAAAGTGGTAAAAACACCTATAAAAATGATAAATTTTTTTGTTATAAAAATACCGACAAAAATAATAAATTTGGTTGTACAATATCAATTTTTTTTTATTTGNATAAAAATGATAAATTTTTTTGTTATAAAAATACCGACAAAAATAATAAATTTGGTTGTACAATATCAATTTTTTTTTATTTGGTACTTTAGTCAAGCCCAAGATTAAAAGGAGGTTGTTGATTCTATTTTTTAATAAAAATAAGATTGTCGGTGTCAACAATCTTATATTTTAAAAAGTATCGTAATTTGATAATATTGAGTATAGGTTGGTTACTTAATTCAAACAATGTCACTAACCGCGGATTTCTACAGTATTTATTAGTTTTCCAATAAAAAAAAAAGCAAAATATATCAAGGAAAAATAAAGCAAGTTGTACCCAGGAAGTTATTATCAAATGAAAATTAAACAAATTTTACCCAACTCGTCACGATTGTTTTGAATCAAAAGGTCAAAAACATGTGATTAGAACGATTTTTCATTAGATATACACATTAATGGATTGAATCCGACGCGATTTGTCGTTTGTGCCGTCTAATTCAACTTCATCAAATAATTAGTTAATTTCACCATCTACATACAGCTTCAAATTGGATCAGTATTGAATCAAATGTTAATTTATCCAACTTAGATAGAATGATAAGGTCATTCCATTGTAACGTAGGTGTTAAAAGTTTGAGTCACAAAAATAATTCTCCGTTTATAGGGCTAAGATTGTAAATATTTAACCTTTGCAAACCCTAACATTAATTTATCCAACTTTGATAGAATGATGAGGTTGTTCCATTGTAATGTGGGTGTTAAAAATCTGAGTCACAAAAATAATTCTCTGTTTACGGGGCTAAGATCATAAATATTTAACCTTTGCAAACCCTAACATGCACTCGAGGATGCCCTTTTTGGTTGATACATCCAACTCCGAATTTNTAGAACGATTTTTCATTAGATATACACATTAATGGATTGAATCCGATGCGATTTGTCGTTTGTGCCGTCTAATTCAACTTCATCAAATAATTAGTTAATTTCACCATCTACATACAGCTTCAAATTGGATCAGTATTGAATCAAATGTTAATTTATCCAACTTAGATAGAATGATAAGGTCATTCCATTGTAACGTAGGTGTTAAAAGTTTGAGTCACAAAAATAATTCTCCGTTTATAGGGCTAAGATTGTAAATATTTAACCTTTGCAAACCCTAACATTAATTTATCCAACTTTGATAGAATGATGAGGTTGTTCCATTGTAATGTGGGTGTTAAAAGTCTGAGTCACAAAAATAATTCTCTGTTTACGGGGCTAAGATCATAAATATTTAACCTTTGCAAACCCTAACATGCACTCGAGGATGCCCTTTTTGGTTGATACATCCAACTCCGAATTTGTGAGATATAATATAACCCTTTCAATATGTATGATTAATTAAGAGTGGTCAAGTCTATCATCTTGTAAGTAAGAGGTCTTATATTCAGTACTTCTCATAGGCTAGCCAACCTTGTCCTTAAGGAGATATGTCAATAAATTNTTGTGAGATATAATATAACCCTTTCAATATGTATGATTAATTAAGAGTGGTCAAGTATGTCATCTTGTAAGTAAGAGGTCTTATATTCAGTACTTCTCATAGGCTAGCCAACCTTGTTCTTAAGGAGATATGTCAATAAACTAGTTCGAGTTACGATGGTCAATTTAGAGTTCGAACGAGTAATCGACGTAAGTCTAAACACCATGTAACAAAAACAAAATTAGATTTTGATTAAAATCCAATTACTGACAAACCAAATGGTAGATAGAGTCTTGTGTGACTAATTTAAGAATCTAATTATCTCTTTAATTACCTAATTTTGTTTGTATACGTGGGGGTGATGTAAGGAGAGAGTAGAACAAGAACAACATGATCGTTTTTATTTCTTAAACATGTGTTTGGACCCTAGTTTTTTGGGATCTTCTAAAGGATTACTAGCATCCCTCCACGTGGCAAGTATTCATGTGTTCAAGACTTTCCTGTCTCATGTTTGACCTAGTTAGAAGACAAAGAATACATAGGAGACGATGACTAAGAGATCTCAAACCCATCCAGCATAAAAATTAGAAACATTGTGTTAGGTAATGTAAGTACTTGTGTGTTGTGTTCCGAAATTTTTTCCCCTTGGATGACTTCATTGTCTTCTCATAATGACCTTCTTTTGGTTGTTAATGTTAATTTTACGAAAATTTGAATCATTTGAATCCGAGCTAAAATTTAAAAAAATGATTTACGACACAAGATAACAGTAATATAAGAATCGTGCAGTTAATAACAGTACTATAAGAATCTTGCAGTTAAAATTCTCTAATTGATTAGTTTAAATGGATCCGACTCCTCTTCTGTTAATTTTCTAACAACAGATGATCCTCACCCGGTCTAAATAGGCTTTTAGACATCAAATGTGGTCCCAGACCTTGGCAATTTGTAAACACCCACTTACCGTAGGCATTACAAAATATGAATTCAAGGGCAGATTAGTCATTTTGCAAAACAATTTCTTGTCATGTGAGGTAGAATAAGTCATCTTCAAAGGGTTGTTTGTCTACGTGGAAAAAAGAACGTCTACCATAAGACAACAAACACAAAAGGACAATCCAATCAAGTGGTTCACTAATTGAACCAAGGACGAAAGATAAATTTACACGTTCTGAGTTCGCGTTCTTTTAACTGTACAAAATTCATGTTTAATTAATACACGTTATTTGTAAGTATTTTGTCTATTCGAAATTTGTATTACATCCCTAAATCTAAACANGTGGAAAAAAGAACGTCTACCATAAGACAACAAACACAAAAGGACAATCCAATCAAATGGTTCACTAATTGAACCAGGGACGAAGGATAAATTTACACGTTCTGAGTTCGCGTTCCTTTAACTGTACAAAATTCATGTTTAATTAATACACGTAATTTGTAAGTATTTTGTCTATTCGAAATTTGTATTACATCCCTAAATCTAAACAACGTGTGATTGGATCGATTCTCCATTACTAACAAAAGAGTAAAAAGTGAGCAAAATAAACACAAAAGGACACTAGAAAATGAGTTTGCCACAGAAACCCCAATATATCTCTTAGTAAACTCAGTCCCCCTTCAAATATATATAGAGCAACATTACCACCAAAAACAAAGATATGTTGACAAGCCCTCCACTCCTGTTAAGAGCTAAGACACTTCCTACATTCTCTCTCTCTCTCTCTCCTGCAAATCAAACTCTCCCTCTCTTCTTTTTTTTTTTTTATCTCTCCCTCCACCTTTCAATGGAAATCCAATTCCAACAGCATCAAAAGGGAGGAAATCCAATGAGCAAATTCAAGGGGAGAAATAAAAGTAGCAGCAATAACAACAAATTTATAGGGGTGAGACAAAGGCCTTCTGGGAGATGGGTAGCTGAGATCAAAGACACAACAAAGAAGATTAGGATGTGGCTTGGAACCTTTGAAACTGCTGAAGAAGCTGCTCATGCCTACGACGAGGCTGCTTGCCTTCTTCGCGGATCCAATACTCGCACAAACTTCATTACCAATGTCTCTGCTGACTCTCCTCTCGCTTCTCGAATTCGAAATCTGCTAAACAGCAAAAAAAGTGCAAAACGGCAGAGTCTGAATGTATCTAACTCTACAAGCAGTAACACCATTAAGAGTAGTACTGGCATTACAAGTAATCCTACTACTAGTACTGATGATACAAATGGTTGTGGTGGTGACTTCATTAGCAGTGGTGACTCTCTTTCTAGAAGCAAGATACAAGATTCCCAGTTGTTTGATGATGCATATAGACCTGATTTCAGCAATTTCGCCGAAGAATTGAACTTAGACTCTTCTCAATCTGATATGGCTTGGGGTTTTGGACCCGGGCTTAATCGGTTTCCTTTGACTGAAGAGATGCTGGAATTACCAAAGAATCTTGTTCTACCAGAGACAACTGGCCCAGATTTTTCAGAATTTGAGCTCATGAAAGTTGAAAGACAGATATCAGCATCGCTTTACGCGATGAACGGGGTGCAGGAGTGTATGGAAACTGTCCATGATCCTACTGAAGCTTTTTGGGATCTTCCTCCTTTAGGTTCATTGTTGTGCTAAACTTGAAGGTTTCTATCATGACCATGAAATCTCCTCCTATTCAGTCTTTTTCTTCTCTCTTTTTTCGGGTTTTTTTTCTCTTATGATGTTCTTCCGAGACCATTTAGTGCAGGACTCTTTACAAGTTTACAATTACAAAGAATGAGAGAGAAACAATGTCTCTGGTATCTTCTTCTAGATGTTTGTTGACATATAATAAGCAAGTAAAATATATGAAGTCTTCCTTAATATATATGAAAAGGTTTCAATCATCTCTTCCCTACAAAGTCCAAGGAATCATTCTCAATTGAAAATAGCAATGAACCATTGTTTGAACTCACCCCATCCTTTTCTCTCTTAATGTATATAAACATGATATCTTGTACAAGAGCTACTATTTTTTCCAACAATAGATGTCATCAATATCTTGTACATTATGTAAGACAATCTACATAAATATGGCCAGGACCAATAGAGAAGTATCAATTTGCATTTACTCAAAATAATTGCAGTTATGCCTAGATAACATCTTTCTTGTTTTGGAGTTGCTCTATACTTTAAAATTTGTATGGAGATCCTTGATTACTTTAAAAGTTACAGTCAAATCTATCGTACTCTATACACAATTCAACACTTTTAACAGGATCTATAAGATGTAAGCAACCTTACCCCCTATTTTGAAGAGGCCAATTTCCAGACTTAAATGCGTAATGTACCACTTGAGCAGATGACTATTTGCTTACTTGGAAGCGGTTTACTTGAAGGTTCAAGCAAGTCTTAACAAACCAAGGGAAATCATTTCCTTCTTCATGGTTTAAAAAGAAAATTGGCATTTGACTTCATTATAGCTAGAGAAGAGTTGAAAAAGCAATTTCACGAAAGACCAACAAGGATAGGCCGGAGTTGAGAGAGCAATTTCACAAAAGATTGACAAGGATAGCACCAAGCTGGCACTCAATTTCTTCTCCTCTATGAAGGGATTTTAAGAAATGGAGTGTATGAGTGCAATTTAGGCGGGTTAGAGAATCAAACCAGGCCCAATTTAAGTTTTAAATTTTCAACCATAATCCAACCCGAGCTTGACTCCAATTTGAGGTAACCCGTCTGAGTTGCACCCCTACACTCAATTTCTTAAGANCCAAGCTGGCACTCAATTTCTTCTCCTCTATGAAGGGATTTTAAGAAATGGAGTGTATGAGTGCAATTTAGGCGGGTTAGAGAATCAAACCAGGCCCAATTTAAGTTTTAAATTTTCAACCATAATCCAACCCGAGCTTGACTCCAATCTGAGGTAACCCGTCTGAGTTGCACCCCTACACTCAATTTCTTAAAATCCCTTCATAGAGGAGAAGAATCAAAAGTATGCATCCTTAGGAAGAATTGGAAGAACGGAATCCTACCCCCATGTAAGGAGAGGTTTTTGCGTTATTCGAACTCATGACAATAGAATCCAAATAAACTTTGTCCGCATGATTATACTAAATTCCATCTCGTCTATTACAATTTGCATGCAATGTCGAGGTATAGTGTTTTATAGAACACCAGCTAAGTAAGTCTCTGTGGTAGCAAGGTGGCTTTCAGTTTTCATAGTAAGAGATCCAGGCCCACGCCAACTTGTCCGGNATGATTATACTAAATTCCATCTCGTCTATTACAATTTGCATGCAATGTCGAGGTATTGTGTTTTATAGAACACCAGCTAAGTAAGCCTCTGTGGTAGCAAGGTGGCTTTCAGTTTTCATAGTAAGAGATCCAGGCCCACGCCAACTTGTCCGGTTCTTGATGAGAAACCCAAAAGGCAAATGAAGATATAACTAGTTTTTTCGATTTGCATAATAGATGGTTTCGACAGCAACCCCTTGGCCATAGCAAAGGCCATCTCTTACAACCATGAACAGAGCTGCCCAACGATCTCAAAACATGGACAACACATAACTTCCAGGCCAATCGATAATGAGAGGTTAGNCATAATAGATGGTTTCGACAGCAACCCCTTGGCCATAGCAAAGGCCATCTCTTACACCCATGAACAGAGCTGCCCAACGATCTCAAAACATGGACAACACATAACTTCCAGGCCAATCGATAATGAGAGGTTAGACTTCAAGCAATGACGTGTTAATCCTCCCAAATGATGTGTCGCAGGATTACACATTCCAATCTGGGAATCAACCTCTCTGAAACGAGGGTAAGACTACCTACCACCACTTGACTCTCTCAAGCCTCGCAATGGGAGAAAACCCTGAAAACTGAGAACAACCTTTAACTCAAACGAGTAATACACTATATAAAACAGAAAGTTCAGCAATGAAATTTAGTATAGGACATGCTACACGTCAAACTTCAGTACACACCCCAAGGGTTGTCAGCTTAAAATGCAAGATCAACTCACAATGGTCATGACCTTCATATGAGGCAAGGACCGCTAAGTATTCTAGTTAGAAAACAGTTTTGCAAGTTGGGTTGCAGAGTAGGATGCTTATAGAACTTCCCTATCCTCTCAACCAAGTGTTACGATATGACGATTTGTCGCGCAAAGAAGCATCATGAGGCTTGTATTCTATTACGTAGCTATGAGGAAGCTTCAAGTGTCGTTTGATTGCATCTCTTAGAGCCATTACAGCCTAGGAAAAAAAGAGAGCAAAGAAAGCAAGGTCAGAATGTCAAACTTTTAGCATGAAAACGGAAGTAAACAAAGAGGAATGCACAAAATGGTGGTTGATAATAGCTGACCTGATGATCAGATGCATTGCGGTTCCAGACACTCAATATATCCTCATTGAAACGAATACTCAACACTGCACCACATATATTGTCACCATAATCAAGTTGGTCACCCACTAATGCCAGGACCTGCAAATGCATCCACCAGAAAACAAATCATTACCAATCTCGTAATATTTGGGAGAGAATAAAGCATAAGTTTACTCCCTATATGAGACAAGTACTGGTTCATACTAAAAAATTCTTTCATTTTAACATACTTATTTCGCAACTATGTGGTGATTATCTGATTCATAAAAATCTCACAGCTTTGCATGCAAACTGTCTCCTTCATTTTCATAACATTTTCAATTCACATTTTTAGCAGAGTTTTGAGTCCTATAATGAGTGAGGTGGGCAGGGGGTCACATTTCATTGCTAACAATGAAAAATCCATTGTTTTAGCGTACATACTCTTTTTTTTGTTACGGAAGGAGCGTACATATTCTTGGAGACTAAGGGAATAGAGTTTCTTGACAAGTCCGCCAGCCAATATACATTCTCACTCGGNAGCGTACATACTCTTTTTTTTGTTACGGAAGGAGCGTACATATTCTTGGAGACTAACGGAACAGAGTTTCTTGACAAGTCCGCCAGCCAATATACATTCTCACTCGGGGTAAAAGAAAACATATGTTGCCCAGATGCAATTTTGCACACGTTGGATGAGTTCAGATCTCTCCTCCACACAGAGAAAAGAAAATGTGAGAATGGAGCAACATCATCTCTGGACCTAAACTTGTCTTTTCAATAATTGAAAATTAAAAGAACTATTCATCTAAAATGAAAAGGATTCATGCTACGAGTTTTACAAGGGAGCATCATTAGTGCATCTAAACTTGAGGTTGGCACTGATAATGAAAAAAATTAAATCAGATAGATGTGGATAAGAATTACTTTTTGGCAGAAGTCAAAACAGCACCAAGAGATAATTTTGGCCAGATAACTCAAGAGTTGGTGCACGGCAAGCAAAATTATGACCAACTTCAGCAAAACGAGGAGTGGACACGAGGAATACTAAAATTGATAACCAAGAGATACATGGCAGATCATTTCCACTATTGGGGATTGATTATCCTCTGGGAAGATGGAAAGGAAGAAAATGTTGCCCACAGAACTAAAGCGACATGATTGAAGCATGAGCGCCGTCTAACGTCAAGGAATCATAAAATAACGACCAAATAAGAGGGAGGATCATTCAATAACACAACTTTAATTTTCTAATAAAATTCATAAGACATCTATCATGCCATTAATAAAAAAAACAATAAGAGCAACGCAGTCAAAAAAAATTGGTGCACAGAGTACAGTGTGTATGAAGATGTTGTAATGAGAATAAGCGCATCAGTGAACTAGAATATCAATAGACAATACTATGGGGAAAAAATGCCAGAAAAGGAACAATCACATGCAACAAGGAGGAATATTTTATTTAACGCAAAAGCAATTCAAGAGATTAGGGTTGAAAAATGAAAACATCAAATTTTAGGACTACAATCGAAATATAGAAGCCCAGTAAGGAGTTGGTGTAGAATACCGAGGGAAAGGAAAAGCAATGAAAAAAAAAGCACACCTCAACTAAGACAAAAAAGACAAGCAGCCTTTCCCTTACCAGATCCTCCCAAAAGCGACCTGACACAGCCTTTTTGAACCGTATTATCCACTTCCCACCATTGCAGTTAGCAGAATCCTGAACAAAAAACAATCCGTTGAGGCAGGGCATACTTAGTCTGTACTAAAAAGGAATTCTAGTGGAAAAGGAAAAAAATAAAGGAGAAAAAATCATTAATTAGCACAAGCAAGCAAACTTTTAAGCATCAACATTTACCTCCCATAGTGGACGAATTCCTTCCTTGAAAAGATGCAAATCTGTTGGGCTTGGCAATGATGATGGACGAGCCAAGTGGCAGTAGCAAATCCAAAAACCTTCAACCTATAAACAAGCAATGTTCAGATATAAGAACAAGAAAATAAATGGGATATAGAACAGAAATTGAGGTAAAGGCTTAAGGTTGACCACATTGTAGCCGCACAAATACAAAACATATATATGCACGAAAGAGTCTCACCGTACTGAAATCTACAATTTTCTTTATGTTGTCCTCGTAAGATGTCTGAGTACGGAGTCCAGGTGTTCGACGAGTGTACCAAAATACAAACTTATGCTGAGCATCACATTGAAACAAAATGAGTGACATGGTAAGCATAATGATTGCCAAATAGATTAAATCCTAGAAAAAAACGCACATCAAACATGGCAACATCATGCAAGCATTTGGAACATAGTCATACGCTCCAAACATTACTTAACTATCAATCAAAATCCCCTTCTTTTATGTATCAAATACAATTTATGACGGGGTAAAACCAGTACTACATATATCAAAGCTAAGTAGTTGAATAATTTCAAAATANGTCTGAGTACGGAGTCCAGGTGTTCGACGAGTGTACCAAAATACAAACTTATGCTGAGCATCACATTGAAACAAAATGAGTGACATGGTAAGCATAATGATTGCCAAATAGATTAAATCCGAGAAAAAAACGCACATCAAACATAGCAACATCATGCAAGCATTTGGAACATAGTCATACGCTCCAAACATTACTTAACTATCAATCAAAATCCCCTTATTTTATGTATCAAATACAATTTATGACAGGGTAAGACCAGTACTACATATATCAAAGCTAAGTAGTTGAATAATTTCAAAAAAACCATAAAGGAAGAGAAGGACTAGTGGTACAACTTGACTGGGTTGAGAGGTCAATCCAGCTATAAAACCTTCATTCCAAACTTAACCCAAAACCTTCAACCCCAACATTACCAGGTTTTAGACTTTAGATTTTTGAAATGAGTTCAACCCGGATTGACCGAATTAGCACATTAAGTAAGAACATAGCAAACATCCACAAATAGGGAACAACAGAAATCAACCGCATAGAAGAGCAATACAAAAAGCCAATGGGCACAACGAAATTTACTGCAAAATGATCAACAAATGAGCATAAGATTTTTTGAGATACCAATATGTCTACCTCCTGACTCTAGAAAGATGCTCGACTTAGAATAGCAGATAGTTTACGGATGTACTCTCTAAAAATCGAAAGACTTCATGAAACATAATTTAAGAATGCATGGGAAAAAATCCGGCAATCATTTAATCAATAAAGAATGTTAAGTTGCACCCCAGTCCCGATCGTGAGCTACAAAGCCGACAAAATGTTTAAGGTCTTCTCCGACATTGAGCCGAGGGAAGGCTCTCTGATACATATATCAGTATTACGATCAATACATGAATAAACAAGAGCATGAAATTAGGAAAAAAAATCATAGAGGCTGTGTTTCACAGTGTGGCAAATAGTTACGTGCTCTTACCTAGCCCTCCCTTACCTTTGGAACCTTACCCCATTTGACACAAGACCTTGACATCACTTGCAAAAAAGGTTCTTGCTTGTGATTGGTGGCAACTATGGCATGCCTTAGAATGAAAACTTGAGCTTATGATTGGCGGAGATATGGTGGTCAGCTAAAGGTTGACATTCTTCACCTTGGAATTCTACTTTCCTTGAGATATGTGTCATCACATGGTTTACACCTTTTACATAGTGTCTAATATCATATAGTAAGACCCACTATAAAATACGTTCTTCCAACTGCCTCTAGCTTTCATTTCCTTCATAGTACTCAGAAGTAATTAAAAATAATTAGCTTATTCATATCTTTTGTGGTAATCTTAGAAGCACGGACACTTCGCCAGATGTCGACGAGGCGGTGTCGGACACGTGTCTGACACGGATACGCGTGGGAAATGACCAAACACGCATCTAACTCTTCTACAGGTGTCATGAACATGAACAAGGATTTTTTTGAAGCCAAATACAAGGGTATACAAGAAATAAGGGGCTGAAACTGAAAGAAAGAAAGAAAAAAAAAAAAAAAGGTCGCTAACAGAACAGAGAGGAGAGAAGAAGAGACATACCAGATTTGCTTCAACGATCAGCTTCCAATTTGCTTCAAGCCTTCGTTCTTCTTTCCTTTTTCTTCCTGAGATCGTGAATCGATGCCCTAGCTGCACTCTTCCTAAGTCGGTGCCCTAGCCGACTATCTTTTTCTTTTTCTTTTCTTTCTATCTCTCTCTCAATTGAACAGATGTTGTTATTTTATTAATATGTTTCTCTTCTTTTTTTTTTGTATAATTTATTTATTAGTTGTCAAATAAATTAACCCACATTCCACTTTTGTGTTTGCCCACAGCCCAATTTGACGTTAGCTCACTGCCCAATTCTAACGTATTACTACCCAATATAATATTAGTCTATTACCCAATTGTAAGATATTAACCAATTATTTAATGATTTCTAAGTCTTATTATTAATGTTATTTATATAAAAAATATATAATATTATTCTAATTAGTTATATCCTTGTCGTACATGTGTCCTATATTTTAAAATTTTATCTTATCCCCACATTTATATCGTATTANTATTCTAATTAGTTATATCCTTGTCGTACATGTGTCCTATATTTTAAAATTTTATCGTATCCCCACATTTGTATCGTATCAGATACGACACCCATATTCGTATCTATGCTTCCTAGGTAATAATATATTACTTTAGAAGAGATGTGTCGAGGCCTAGCATATGATCTCAAGCGATCCAAATGTATTTCACTTGTTGAAATAAGTTCGACAAACATAATTGTTGATGCTAGGCCAATCTTTTTGTACTTGAGCTTTAAGGTCTAGCCTCAGAGCATGACTATTGATACTAGATAACTATATCGTTCATATTTGGCAACAGCACAAGCCAAAAGCTTGAAAAGTTTTTGTATGTTTGAGCTTATTAAAAAAACCCAAGTATTTTTCAGACTTTGCTAGTTGTCTTTGAATCAAGCAGTAGCCGTTTCATGGAAAAAATTCCTTTTCTTCCATAAAGACCATCCTCGTGTTACCTCCCTAAACGGGGAATACTCCCGAGTCTTTTTGTACTTGAGCTTTAAGGTCTGGCCTCAGAGCATGACTGTTGATACTAGATAACTATATCGTTCATAGTTGGCAGCAACACAAGCCAAAAGCTCGAAAAGTTTTTGTATGTTTTTACTTATTCAAAAAAGTCAAGTCCTTTGCAGACTTTGCTAGTTGTCTTTGAATCAAGCAATAGCCGCTTCATGGAAAAAATTCATTTTCTTCCCTAAAGACCATCCTCGTGTTACCTCCCTAAACGGGGAATACTCCCGAGTTGAGGTTAAGTAAACCCATCATGAAGAGGTTCAATGCCCATGATATGATTTTTGGTGCTTTGGCTGAGCAAAGACTTACCCAATTCCGGGNTAAAGACCATCCTCGTGTTACCTCCCTAAACGGGGAATACTCCCGAGTTGAGGTTACGTAAACCCATCATGAAGAGGTTCAATGCCCATGATATGATTTTTGGTGCTTTGGCTGAGCAAAGACTTACCCAATTCCGGGACCTAACCCTACTCCTTTGTAACTTCCCTAAACAAAAACTACTCCCAAGAACCTGAACATGTTCTCAAGAGGTTTTATGCCAATAATACACTTTGGGTCAAGATTTACCCATTTCTAGAGTCAAGCCTCGCACTATGTTAAGGGATTGTCTGATTCTTCAGGAATTCACTATCAAGGCAAACATGCATTTTTACTTGGACTAGTGGAGTCGACATAGGATGGAATCATACAGCTCCTCGTTCAATTCTAAGTCATTAGATCATTTTTCGCGTTCAAGAATCCTGTCCGTTCTTCCACTCCATTTGAAATAGTAACTAGGACCAATTTAGTCACATTTTCATATTCAACACCTTCCATTTTTATTTTTATGAGAATCTAGCAATCAATGCGGAACTACAACGTATTCCCTCCGATTCTTAAGTCGGTCAAAGCACCGATTTTAAAAAGGGGGAATACCAGAGGTTGTGTGGAAGTGAGTGCCTGTGAGAGGTGTTTGATGCATTCTGACCACGCAAGAGGAAAACAGTTATTGAGAAAAAGGGATGACCTAGCATCAAGAATCATGCTTGAAGGTTAAACTTTAAAACTAAAATACAAAAGGACATGTCTAGCTTCGACAAACATGTTTGTAGGACTTCATTCCACAAGTGGCAAATACATTTGGGTTTAGATATGTTAGATCTCGGCATATCTCCCCCAGAGTTATATATTATTAGAGAAGACATTAATCATCATAGTACATTTCAAATCCTTTTGTAGACTACAAAGAAATTGAAAGTTAGAAGCACTTGGAAGGACACAAGTTATGGTGTGTCCCACTATACGAAAATGGTCACTATGTAAAAGATGTAAGCCATGTAATAGCACACACCTCAAAGGAAATATAATTCCACGGTAAAGAATATCAACCTTTAGTTGGTCACCATAACTCCAATTATCAGAATGAAGAACCTTGTTTGTAAGTGATATCAAGTTCTTCTCTAGCTAGGATACCCCAAGATAAGAGAAAACCAAGGGAGCTTGTAGCTCTCTACCATACACAACCACATACACACCCTAATAATATTTTCTAATTTCATGCACTTACTTATACATATATTGATCGCAATATTGACTTACGCATCAGAGGGCCTTCTCTCAACTCAACGCTGAGGAACCTAACATTATGAAGAGTTTGCAGCTCCAAAAGGACCAAAACTAAGGGCACAACTCAATATTCTTTACTGATTCGATGATTGCCAATTTTTTCCCATGTAAGAGTATCACATAAAATCCATTAACCAAGAACAATCAAAGAGAAGGTAAGGCAATCGTGTTCAACAATCAAGGAGAATGTTGTCGCCAAAAAACATGGTAGAGGCTCTATAGAATGCAACTATATTGAACAATTAGAGTGAAGGGTGTTGTTGACATGAGAGTGAGAGAGAGGTAGGTGAAGATGACAAATGAGAACTAGTTAACGATTAAGCCTAAATCCCGTCCAATGTACCATCTGCTAACAAGGCAGCTAGTCCAATCAACATCAAAGAATGCAAAGAAGGTGGTGAATGGTCCCAGAATGCAAGGAAAAATGGGATATTAATGGTGTCAACTATCCACTATATAGGTCTTTTCAATCTATGGCAAACTTTTCAATTGCTCTAAGCGCTTTAAACAGTCAAGGATCTAAAATCTTAGGGAAAATCTAACACGTTATCCCTATCGCTAAGTTAGCCTTTTAGTTTTAAGCAA